GCGGTGTTTCCTGCAACAGTTGCTGATACCGGCATTGTGAATGTAACGTGAAATGAGCTGGGGCGCAGAGCTGTGGGTAAGAACTTATCATTAATCATTTAGTATAGAAGTTAGTAACAAGATTATCTGATGTTCTTCGCCGTGAGTGTGTTTGCTTTCACGGATAACCAAGAGGCGAAGCTCGTTGTAACCTGAGACCGCGTTTGCTGCGTCTGCTAAGTGTCGTTTAGCTGGTCTGGTTGCATCGGGATATTTGGTTGTAAATCATACATGAGTGGAAAAATAAATGACAGCCATAATTGGAATATTCAAATTACGACTTAAGATTACTTCAATTTTTAAAACGATTTTCTCTGTTTAAACGTCGTTACGCGTTCGCTGGGACACCGGCAAGTCGAAGGCGATGTTTCTTGGTTTAACTTCTGTATGCGATTTAAGTGACGGTTGTTACGATGTTGCGTTTGCCATTGCCGTGCTGCACGGTTTTTCTTGCCGACTTTCGGTTGCTGTCGCCTCCGTCCCCATGGGACATCATTCGGCGATGACCAACCGACCGACCGTGTCGCGGTTGTCGTCTCTCTGTATCGTTATATGTCGCACTGCACGGCTCAATGTCTGCTGCCAAGAGTTGTTGTTCTACCTGTGAAAGATGCCCGCCGGCTTGTTGCATTACCCGCGCAAACAGGGCTTTGCTCTTATGCTTTTGCTTGTGCTGTGCTGATGTTTTGCGTTCCCAGCTTCAAGCATGTGTGTGCAGTGCGCACACCGACGGACAGACGGAACGCATGCAGGCTGTACGTTTATGGGATGTTGATGAATCATGCGTTCTTCGACTGTGTTGCATGGGCTTGAGCTTGAATATTCGCTCGGTGTTGATTTGTGCATATATCTGTATTTGTATATAGTGTTAGTTGGCCCGGTGCTTCCGTTTGATGCCGACCATGTTTACATCGTTTCAAGCGGAGATGAGCCTTGCGTCTGTCGTTGCGACTGGCAAGACACACGTTCGGTTCACCGCCCGATCTTGTGTAACTGGTCTTGTCGTTGCGGAGCTGGACTGTACGCGTAGCACAGCCATTTGGTTGTCTTCTCTGACATATTATGTCGTCGTCTTCGTTGTGTCCTCCTCGCTGTCTGTTGTATCGTCGTTCATACCTCGTTCTTCCGATGTTCTGGTTTGTTAAAACGTGACGAACAGCTTTTCTAGGATCAGAAAGAAAGCATCTCGAACCACACTTGGAAAGGAATCGAGTTCCTCGACCGATACGGTTCGTTCTTGAAGGATCGACAGAACGTGGAGATCGACTATGCGAAAAGCTTGAGGTGAGTACTGTTGATTAAGCGACGTTTCCCTGTTTCGCCTCCTCCTGCACTACTCCATGATTTTGGCTGTTAGCATGTTTAGACCGGCAGCCAATTGATTATGCTATGTTTATATAAAATGTTAAGTGAGTTATGGACGAAGGGAAGAAGGAGAAGACTGCGATTAAACCGGTGCCGCGCTTGCTGCCGCAACTGGTTTCGTGGCCGCTGCCTCTGGAAGCTAGGGCCGCAAAGTTTTTGGACAAGGAACTTGTGGAAGAACTTTTGTGCGTTTTTTAGCTGTTTATTTCCTGGCCTCAAGTCGCTTTTCGAAAACAAGATGTGCTGGTCGCTTTTTCCTTGTATTTCGAATGGCGACAGTGCTGATCAGTGGACCGGTCAGAGGACTGCCGGACGATCGCATTGCACTCTAGGTTAGGTAAAGCTTTGCTGTGTTCGAGGTGCGATCAAGTTTTACCTTGTATCATCGTACTTTCAAGGCAGTATACATGACCATTATTTTATGTAGTTATTTCACTCAGTTAAATCATTGTCATAAGCCTTTTTTGGACCACTGCTGAATGGTTTTTCAAATGACTGCGTCATAAATTTGTTTTCTGTCATTCTTGATCTAACGAACTTGTTAGGCTCGTCCTGCCATCGACCTGGAGGTCTTACTCTGGTTCGTTTACTCTGTTGTGGCATTAGATCTAATGTCTGTGGTCCAGCATTGGTCGATTCCTCGTGCAACATGTCCTGCTCATTGCCACTATGTTCTTCTCTCATGCAGTGACATCGCAGATTTTTTCTTGCACTCGTACCATTCATTTCTCATTTTATTTCGTTTTGTTATTCCGAACATCACCTTTCCATGCACCGTGGCATAGTCTGCATTTTTCGTATTCGATTAAGTAAGAATAATGTTGACGAGAATAATCAAAATGTACGACCCAGTGACATTGCCGAGATAAAGAAAAGCAGCATTTGGAAAAACAGCGGAGTGAAGATGTCAGGCAGTGACAAACGGTTTGGAAGAAGGTCAATCCTAAAAATACCTTGGCCTGTTAAAACTTAACTCTGTTGCGTATAACACACAATTGAATGAATCGGTCAAAGCAGAATATCTGAAAAGAACCCGTCTCGCAGTAAAGAGCAAGTAGTAGCCGTTAACTAGTGCGCTGTTTATAATCTCCTGTTAAGGTTAGGATATGAAAGTGGTTCAGGAGCCCTCTTATGCCGGTTGAAGCTATTGTTGTCCGCCACTCACCATTGGTATCGTCATGTGATCAAAGCCTCACTAATCTGAATCGGTTTGGACGGATGAGTGTTGGGAAGATGCTGATGGTAGTTCACGAGAGTTGAGCGCCAAAACAGACTGCTGTTCGATTATTCCTAGAAACGCTCAAGAATTTAAAAGATTTGGGTCAGCGTTCGTGATGGATCCGTTATGAAGAAAATGGAATAAAGATTAATAGACCAGTTCACTGCACTAATGCTTGTTTATACAGACAGCATCGTAGAGTGTACGCAAACGATACGTTTGCAACTGGATGTTGAGACAGGACAGATCTTGAACCTGTATTAACTGGCACATTTAATATGCGAATAGTCTGAACAATCTGACGTGGGGAAGGAGGAAGATACTTTTGTAGTATCAAAGATGTACTGGGATTAGAAACATCACCCCTAAAGCAACATCTGGCTACAGCAGTGAACGATAGGTTGCTGACAGGTATAAAGATTAACGGAATAGAACCACAGAACATTTCGAAATGCATTCAATAAGCTATAAACGAGCAGATCGACTTCGGAGCCAAACAGAAGCCATTCTGATAGCCGCCCAAGATCATTCGGGAAAAGTCAAGATGCTTCGTACGATGCTGAGAGCTAAGCACAGGATGTGTGAATCGAAGGATGAGACCATGACACCTAGTTTTTGATTGCCAAACACTCGCGAATCGAAAATACAAGGAATGGTGGCACAGCTTTGCACGGATAGTCCACTGACATTTGTACAAACTAGCCCCGAAAGAAACTGAAGAGACTGAGCTAGGGAAAGTACTCTATTTCTTCTCAGTACGAAATGAGAAAGAAATTCGGTTCATCATCTGCGTCTCGGGTTTGTAGATAAAGTGAAAATGCGTACACAACTCATTAGTATTTCATGCTCGGCTGATGGAGAAGTTGTTAAAGGGAGAGAAACGATACGGAAATATCATGAATTGAGAGTGAAAATACAGAACACCTGAAGAAGTAATGGCGGAGGTCGTTCCTGTGGTGATCGGTGCTCTAAGAGCAATGAGAAGACTCCATCAGCGCCTGCTAAAGTCAGTCGATACAGATAGATCAAGGTGGATAAGCTGCGGAACGTGACGTTCCTCGAAACAGCCATGATTTTAAGAGTATGCTTCAGGTACTTAGCCGGTTCGAATTGAAGCGATAGAAAATCATTCGTGTTATTTTAATGTAGTGTGGTTAAATTTACAGCGGTAATACAAGATCAAGTGGTGTTGTCAAGCAATAATACGATACATCCTGAAGGAAAATGTTTCGGACAATTGCAGGTTGTGCAAAAATACATTGAGATCAGTGCAACGTATTTTCTGATATATGAGCATGATAGTCTGAAAACATGTTTTGCTGAAACTTCGTGAAGTTCTTGTGATAAAATTCAAATCTTACTGTTACAAAGTTTAAGTTACAAATGTAACGTTTATCGTAACTCACACCGAATCGGCTCTGTTCATTAGTGACCGCTTTTCGTCGTCTTTTCCGGTTCACGCTTTCGAAGCTCATCTGCCAAAGAACAGCATTTGTATTAAGGCCTGGTATATGTAGTTTGTAGCGATGTATATATAGTAGCAATGTATATGTATATATCTGCAGCGATGTATATATAGTTTTAACTGGTCATTTTCGCGGTGGTTGAGATGTGGTTTAGCCGCAATGTTGTTGATCTAGCTTAAAATCGTGATCTTGTGTGGGCGTAGTATCGCGAATCGTTGGATCAGAAGACACAAAAACGGTTATCGCTGAACCTTGTTCAAAAACTTCACTCCTGGTAGAAGTTCGTTCGCTTGACTGCTAACGTTTCTACTGTCTGAAAGCTGCCAAACAAACTTTGATAACGCGCCTCACTTCCAACACTCCTATCAAGAAGCTCGTTAATCGGGGGAGGGGGTTAATGACGCATTTCGCTGCAGCGATCTACAGACATGACGACAATAGCTGATTAATGTGCAGGTACCCGAATGATAGGTCGAAATGCGAACCGGTTTCTACTGTCGTACATGTAGCAAGAATAAATGCGGATTTACATGTTTTAGCGGATAAACTTACTGTTGTGTGGCAAACGACGAACGTATTCCTCCGTGCAGAGCAATGACGACACGGATGGACAACGCTGATCAATCGTTTCTCTCTGGATTTTCCAGATCTAGAGATCAAAGTGGCGCAGAGATATTGTATTCTCTTGCTTTCTTTATTTCATCCATAAGCCATCTACTGGATTTTAGGCTGTCTTGTTCACTAGTTATTATCTTTCATAAATTTATTTGATATCGCCTAATCATTCTGAGAAACGAACGCCCCAGACACCATTAATCTGTGTGCTCTATTCTTGACCTTAATACTCGAGATGACGATGACAACAACATTACTTTCCGTCAGAGGGTAGACGGTTACTGTTGTAAGTCAGAATTGTCCATTAAATCTCGCTTTCATCACGAACAGTTTTTCACACGCTGGTATTCTTTATATGCCGCAGCATAGATATTTCAGTATGTTCGTATTCCGGAGTATATCAGATGACGCTTAGCTCATACAAGACCAGATTTAAAATCCTGCGAAATGGTCAAATGCAATTCAGTTATGACCTGCTTGAATAGCCACTGTGGACAACTTGGAACAAGGGCGATGCAATACGCCTTGAAATCTGGTCTTGGAGGACTTATTCGTTAACTGATGACGTTAAGAAAAATT